CTAATAGCTCTAAGCATTTAGTGGTAAGCGATTGAGGCCTTGATAATATTGTCTTGTTCATTCATAAAGAGGCAGGGTATGTGAGTTATGAATATAGGTTCAATTGAGACTAAATATAATTAGATCCGTTCGATTGTGGTAAGGTTAGACTTTTTTTTTTTTTTTGAACTGTTTTTGGTGCTATTTAGCTGAGCGTTTTGTTTTTAATTTCTTTTTCTTCCACTTTTTATATATTTCGCTCATAATAGGGCTTTAATGATTTTTTATTTACAGGCATTACGAGTACCCTTCCATTTAGTTCTTGCAGTTTATATATGCCATTCAATAGGATATTATGCACGTAGTATAGTCTCCTCTATTTTGGTACAAATTTGTGGCTTTGTGTATCTAATAATCTAAAATTATAAATTAGGACTTTATCTTCTATGGAAAAGTCAGAGGTGGCTTTGATTTGTCAATCGTATCGCTCCTTTTGTTTTTCCTGTGTTGCTTGTATTTGTTGTAATGCTTGCTCACAGGCCTCTTGTAGATCATAGTCGATCTCATACATTCTTTGGATAATCGTTTTATTCAACAACTCCTAGGATTCGCTGGGATGTATAAGAAGCTTAGCTTTTTGCCTATATACCAAAAAAAGGGCATTTTGCGAGTAGAGACTTGTTTTGCAGTTCTATACGAAATAGTATAGATTGAATTAATAGATCCCAGTCTGTTATGTTAGTCACTAATCGTGATATTGTATTACACAGGGTTTTAATAAATCATTCCACCAGTCTATTTGTTTGAGAATGATATGGGGTAGAATAATGGTGCACAATCTGCAAAGCCACAAATAATTTGTCTATGAAACAGTTTTGAAAATAAGATTCTCGATCAGATAGTATTATATTTAGACATCCGTGTCTGCATACTATCGCTTCATAGATGAACTTAGCCACCTCCTCTGCCATCTTTTTAGGAATAACACACGCTTCTGGCCATTTTGTCATATAATCAGTGGTGACTACTATATAACAATTTAAATGCAGGGTTATTGGTAAAGGGCCGACTATATTGATACCTATTCTATGAAATGAGGCCCCAACCGGAATGGGATGTAGTGATTCTTTGGATTTTCAATCTCATGTTGTTGACATTTTTCGTATGTTTTTATATATTCACATATATCCTCATACATTTGTGGCCAGTAATAGTAATCATGAATTTTGTTAAATATTATATCTCTTCCAAAATGGCACCCAGTGGTTGATCATACGCCAAGGTCAGGATTGGGTCTGTCTCATTTTCTTTTAACACTTTTATTAACCTCTTTGACTTTTTATTTTCTTTGTATAAGGTTCCATTTTTGACTTGGAAGTGCCGACTTTGGTTCTTTAAGCATTTTCTCTGTATTTCGTCCAGGTAAGGTAGATATTGATAGTATTGTATATAATTTTTTAGTGCTAAGTACTGTTGTTAATCTATTTTCTTTGATTCTAATGCCAAGATACTAACAACCTGGACTGGATTTAATTTAATGTCAGGTTTGAATGCTTTGATAGTTAATTAAGCGGTATTGGTCTTTTTCTTTGTTATATTTGTTGTCCCTATCATTTCTTTTTATTTAACACTTTTTCTAATTTTTAGATTTACTCTAGTAATCCATTTTTATGCTTGTCTTGTGGTTTCTAGATAAGTATTTCTTTTTTGTCTGTTATTTATTATCCATGTTTTCTTTTTTTTGCTTGACTAATTCACGTTCGTCTTTTTTAATTCTGATTCTAGGTTTCGATAAGCTTTGTTGATAAGTGTCTCTTTTCTTTAATGAGGTATTCTTGCCTTGTTGGCCCAATACTAATAGTTTCTACTATGTTATATTTTTTAGGTATATTGCTTATTTTCAGATCATGTGATTTTGTGGTCCCATAGAATCTCGAAATCTCAATTGACTTCTTAATAGTTAACTACTTTGAATAGGGCCCCACAACTCACCCTATTCCATTCTGACCAACCTTACTCAATTGTCAGATCTGCAAAAGATGTATTTTTTTTTTTTATATATTTATATTTATTATTACTAGTATTTTATAATCATTCTAATTTTAATTGATTTTCTACTCTATTATTCCAGGTTAATATAATAATTCCAATCTATAGACTCATCATTTTCCAAGTGTAGCAACCATTCAGGGTCCTCAGAGTCGATTCTGGTGCTATAGAATATTTCTTCCTCAATGTTGGTATTCTACCAATATTCGTTATGACCCAAGTGGAAATTATGGGCATAACCCGGGTTATAGGTCTCATCATCACTATCAAATTCCAACTTGTTGCTGGTCTACTTTGGTGAGTCAATTAGGTATTCGTCGTGACATCTATTATGTTGGATTCATTAATACTATCATTGGGTAAGTGATAACTTATTTGTATTGTCCAGGTCTTTTTCCTATAGAATTCCTCATTTAGTTGCTGCACTAACTCTCTACGTCACCTTTCATTTTTCAGGTATTGATTAACCTCCTCTTCATCTACCGATTATTCCACGTATTGTTTCAGTTTTCCTCTACTGCTATTCATGAAATTTTATTTTCCTCGACAATTTCTTCAGCAAAATAATCTTCAGTTATTACATGAAATATTTCAACTTCTTTTGTTAAACCGTTGGTTTGTTCCCTTGGATTTTGTGTATATTTTAAAATTGTATCCTTTTTATTTGTGGTGGTTCATTGACCATGCGAGACAATGAATCTGCATTGTTATGAATCCTACCAGCCTGGTGTATTATGGTAAAGTTATAGGGTTGAAGTCTTAGGATCTATCGGGCTTGATAACCTTTTAATGTAGTATTTTGCAGCCATTTTAGTGCACTATAGTTGGTGACTATTGCAAAATGTTTATACCCTAGGTAAGAATGAAAGTGCTCTACTGCCCAAATAGTAGCATAATACTCTAATTCGGTTGCCAAATAATTTCTTTTGGCTCTTGTTAAGCTCTTACTAGCATATACTATAGCATATTCCTTTTTATTTCCATCTTTCTGAGCTAGCACAGCACCAAGACCAACCCAGAAGCATTAGTATGGAGGTAGAAGGGTTTGTCAAAGTCTGGATACCTTAAAACTAGTGCTGAAGTTAAGTGGCCCTTCAAAGTTTGAAATGCTTGTTCTTGTAAGAGTCTCTATTCATAACTAATGCCTTTTTATAATAACTTATTTAGGGGTTTGGCTGTAGACATAAAGCTTTGGATAAACCTACGATAGTAAGAGGCAAGACCAATAAACCCTCGCAGTTGCCTTAAATTTGTTGGGGCAAAAAATTCCTTAATTTTTATTACTTTTTCTTCATCAGATCGAATGCTGTCTCTTCCTACCACATGGCCAAGGAATTGTATATTTGCTTTAAAAAATTAGCATTTCTCTGGATTTATTTTGAGCCCTGCTTGTTGAATTTTTGCGAATACTTTTTCCAGGTGGTCGAGGTGTTCTAGGTAGGTGTTCTAGGTAGGTGTTCGAATATACATTTATGTTATCTAAATATACTGCCCAAGAATTTGACAATATAGTTATAAAAATATTGTTCATTATTCTTTGAAATATAGCTGGCGTGTTGCATAGCCCAAAGGGCATGACGTTAAAAGTATATACACCCTGTTTTGTTATAAACTTAGTTTTTTTCTGGTTTTCTATCTTCATGAATATTTGCTAGTACCTACTGGCTAAATTGAGGCTAGAAAACCACTTGGCTTTTCTAAAAGTTTCTAACAAGTCATCAATACAGAGTAAAGGGTATGCATTTTTTTTAGTGACATATAGCTTTAATTTGCCATTTTTCTTAGGAACTATAACCACAAGAAAGTCCAGGAGCTTTTGACTTCATAAATTAACCTGTTTTCTAATAATTTTTTATTTTTTTCTCTAGGAAGTCTTGTTCGTCAGGTGAAATCCTATAAGCTGGCTGCTTAATGAGTTTGGCGCTACTGGTATCAATTTCATGCTATATTTTTATGGTTTGGACCAGTTGATTTAGCCTGGTTGCAAACAAACTGCCAAACTGCCTTAAAAGATAAGTGGCTTTATCTCTTTGTTTTTTTATCTAATGTTTTGACTTGCACTAATTCGTTAATGCTATTTTTAGGGGTTATATTGCAGTTTTCCTCTTTTCTGGTGTAGGTATTTCTTCAATTAACGTTAAAATATATAGCTGGGCTATACTCATCCTTCTAGGGGTTAATATATAGATCCTTATTATCTGTAGAGCTATTGGTACAATAACTTTTCACTTTTTCTGTTTCTTCTTTCTTATAATTGTCGAAGAAGTCACCATCATTACTGCTATATTTGGGAGCATTTTGAGCTGGACTTCTCTTGCTTGATATATCAGCACCTCTATACATTTACTCAGGTACTGGAGTAACAACTTCTTTTTGTCAAAATAGAGTCGAGCGTGTACTTTTTGGAACCAATCCATTTCTAGAAGCATCATCTCTTCATTATTTTCAATAACTTGGAAATTGGTAGGTATTATCATATCCCTGATATATAGTTTTAGGTCTGGCAACTTTCCTAATGCTCTTTCTCTAGTACCATTCGCAGTAACTACCACCATGTTAGAGGGTTCTTTGATAGTGAGACCTAACTTATTACCCAATTTTTTTGATAAAATACTAATAGTGGCCCCAGAATCTAATATAGCCAAAATAGGGTTGTTTTGGACCCTAACATTACACTTCGCTGCTGTGGGCCTATAGTTGACTTGATTTTTAGCGACCTGAGATTCTTCTACCACTGTAATTAAGGGTCATTTTAATACCTCAGCAAGATTGCGCCTTTGTTTGGAGATCTGAAGCATTTGAGCGTAAGTTGCATTGGCTTTTTGGTTGAGCAGATCATTGGTGATATTATATGATGCGGCTAAATCAACAACAGAAAGCCCTTGTCTTCATCTTGGTAGGTTGGTTGTGATAGGTTGGGGTGTAATGCTTGCCTGCTGTTGTTCTGGGATGACTTCCTTTATTGAAATAGGCTAGGTTGGTTGCTGAGTCATCTGGTTTGGTTCAGAGATAACTCTTTTTCTTAATCTTTCATCCCAATTAGGTTCATTTTTGGGTCTTTCTCGATGCTTGATAGCATATAACTCATCTTCTGTCTCTCGTGTATAGATGTCACATAGGTTAACATTTCTTGGCTGTGACATATTACCATTTGAATTCATCAGAGGTCTCCCGGTATTTTGGCATTGTTCAGCAAGACAATTTCTAGCAATTTGGCCTCTTTTTCTATAATTATAATACTTAATGCTGCTATTTGAAGTTTGCCAAGACTGGAATGGCCTATTTTGATTGGGGCAAGAGTTAACTTCGACTCTGGCTGCCAATATGGTTGTTAACTTTCATAATTTGTGGCTATTTGATGCATTTTGTGTGTTAGTGCTTTGATAAGTTGATCAGTAGAGTCTTCTCTTTTCCTTTTTTATAGTATTTACTAGCTTCTATTTTTCCAGTATTCTCAATAGTGTCATCAAGGGTCTTTGGTTCGGCAATAAACATAAAGGCTGTGATTTTACCTTTTAGACTACCAATAAACATTCTGACCACATAGGTGGGTGGTAATTTATTTTCTGGGTCGACTCTTTTTTGTAACTTTTTAAATCTGTACATGTAAAGGTTGACTTTTTCATTTTCTTGCTAAGTTAATAAATTTAGGTCTATTTGCTATCTATAATGCCTTTCTGGTATTGTGAAATATTTAACGAATAAGAGGCAAAGCAGGCTTCGGGTTGGTCTTGATTATTCCAATATTGGAGATCATCTTTATAATCACTATACCAATTGGCTGCAATTCTGAAAAGATATCCCGAAGCAATGCTGATTCTTCTAGGCTTAGACCAATTATTCATGTTAGCGGCTCTTTCAAATACTTCGATCTATTCTACAAGATCTTTGTCTTCAGTACTCTGAAATATTTAACTTGAACTCAATTGGTTTTACGGCTCTGATGTTGATTTTCAAGACTATCCTCTTGTACTACTTTCGTGGGGCATTCCTAAATATCTTGGCAATATCCTTTAAAATGAATTAGATACTTTCTTGGTAATTTGGAGATAGATAAGTGCTAGTAGAACTCTGGTTCCCGAAATTGAAAAGATCTTGAGAAATTTTTGATGAATCGCTAAGGGCATTTGGAGGTTTTTCAAGGATGGGTATTGATTTTGCCTTGCTTCTTTGTTGAGACATGTTTTAATTGTATATTTTTATATTTTATTTTTGTTAATGAGATTTTTATAATATTTATGTATAGGAGTTAAATATTATTTAGTTCAATCTCACAGTCACTATCAATCGAGAAAGTTTGAGTTTGTGAGTTGCGTCAGAAAACTTGCTGGGACAAGTACAACAACTCACAATACACACTAATACAACTTATACAGCTCAAACTAAAACACTATTACTATAATAACCAAATCCTAATATCGATAAAGCAACGGTTGAGGCATAGAAAGACTTGGTCTGAGTAATCAAGTTATCTTGGGTTATAGAGATAGTGTATAATTTAGATAAGCACCTTTTACTTCTGTTTGGTGATTTAGTTGTTGTTCTGTTACGTTACTAATACTTGAATTCTTTTATTAGCAGGTTCTGCAGCTTGGTCATGTGATTGAAATTGACTAATCAGAATGGTAGTACAAGGTCACAGTATCACTGGATCACGATTCAGATATAATGATATAGATTACAAGTTTTATCAAGGGTAGATTGATATATATAAGGTGTTGTATGACTAATACAGTACAATATCTCTTTCTCTTAAATATGATGAAACAATATACAAAAGTCACAGGGACAAGGCTATACTATAACATTGAACAATTTTGAACAAGAAGGTATATCGTGATTAAAGACAAATACTTCTACTCTAATTTCGAAGATTTTCTTGGAACTTAGTCGAATTGAACTTCAGAAAGTTAATTTTTTATTCAAGTAAAAAGGCAAGCCTTTTATATTTTCTTGTAATTATTGGTATATAAGTATTATTATTCACTATATTAACTATATTATACTTATTCTATATGTACACTATGTTTGTTATGTACACTATGTACCAAATGTACTATATGTACTATATGTGCTATATGTGTCATATATACCATATGTACCATATGTGCTATATGTGCCATATATGGTATATGTGCCATATGTACCATATGTGCCATATGTACTATATGTGCTATATATATACTATATGTGCCATATGTACACTTTGTTCAAGTTATTCTATCTGAAGTAACAATTGCCTTTTGCTTACTATATCTAGAGAGCTATTTGATGCAGGTTATACAAGATTTATATATAAATTATATATAAAATCTTCAAATAGTAAATGTAGAGATTTTTTAAAGAAATATAAAGAAAACTTTTTTCTTACTAAGTTAATCACTCTTGGGCTTCTAACAAAAGTTGTAGAGCTCAACTAGCGTATTTAATAGTGGTGAGAATGCTAAAATCAGCCTAGTAGTTCTTGAAAAATTTTTAAAAAACTTTTCACTGACATATAAAATTTTTTTAAAAAAAATCAATTTTTTTTAAAGAAATTTTATATATCAGCAAAATGTTTTTTAAAGATTTCTCAAGAACTACTAGGCTGATTTTAGCATTCTCACTACTATTAGATGCATCTTGATGAGTTCTACAACTTTTGTTAGAAGTCTAAAAGTAATTTATTTAGTAAAAAAAAAGTTTTAGAAGAAATCTCTCTATATTTGGCTTAATAGTAAAATTTACTTATAAAATTTGCAGATCTTCTTCAAATGATAGATGAATTGTCTATTAAGCAAAAAACCTATCATAGGAAAAAAATCGGCTTCTTTGACTATAGCACTATAGAGAGGTCAGAAGTTTGCAACGTTGGACTCAGAGCATTATTTGTTCAAAGACCACATTCGAGACACGTAATTCAGTTATTTACATCACTGCATCCACGTGTTTGTTGTGACAAGTAATAAATGTAAACAATACTGCCTGATTTGGTAAATAAACAATATATTTGATCTTTTGAAGGGAGTAAACTAAATCGGCCACTTTTTACAAAATTTTTACTGAAAAAACAAGTAGAGGGCCAATAAAAGTATGTGAAGTTCTTCTGTAAGTTTTACAGTTATATAGTTGTATCTTCAAGCTTATACTAATATAGCAAGAGCCAGTTTACTCTTGCTTCTAGAATAAACTTTCTAGTTTAGATGCCAAATATCTCAGAAAGTCTGTTATAAGAGAAGAACAGAAACTTGACTCCAGAAAAAACTGCTTAAGTTATATTTGCTCCTCGATATTTCATGTCTTTTAAGCTTCGTCGACAACAATTTGATCAAAGATAAGTTCAGTTTCCAGAATAAACCTTCTGGTTTAGATGCCAAATATCTTGAAGAGTCTATCTAAATTAGCAATAAGCTTGACCCCAAGAAAAACTACCCAAGTTGCATCTGCTCCTCAGTGTTTCATATCTACAGTCTTTGTTGACAACTGTTTACTCAGTGACAGGACTACAAATAGTATATTCATGAACATTTCTATAATGTTTTCTTGTAGTTCAGTTTTTGTTACGTTGTCTAGAGGATCATTGGAAAGAGTTGTAAATTATCACTTTTTAATCTTATATTCATTCTTATTAGGTTTAATTCTATAAAAATAACAATATCTGGCATTAGATGTTCCCATTAGCATCACTCATCTTGTAGATTTTTAATAATAACTAAAAATTTTATGTTCAGTTCCAATTTTATAAAGATAATAATATCTGGCATTAGATGTTTTTATTAGTATCGCTTATCTCTTTGGATGTTTAATAATAACTAAAGCTTTATATTTATCCTTATCAGATCCAATTTTATGAAGATAACAATATTTAGCATTATCTGTTCTATCAGCATCACTCATCTCTGCAGGTTTTCAATAATAACTAAAAGCTTTATATTCATTTTTTTCAATTCCAATTATATGAAGATAATATCTGGCATTATTTGTTTCTATCAGCATCACTTATCTCTGTAGATTTTTGATAATAGCTAAAAGCTTTATATTTATTATTTTCAAGTCTAATTCTATAAAGATAACAATATCTGGCATTAGATATCTCTTTAGATATTTAATAATAACTAAAAGCTTTATGTTCATCCTTTTTAAGTCCAATTATATGAAAATAACAATATCTGGTATTATCAGTTTCTATTAGCATAACTCATCTTTGTAAATTTTTAATAATAGCTAAAAGCTTTATATTTAAGTCCAGTTCTATGAAGATAACAATATTCAGCATTAAATATTTTTATCAGCATCACTCTTTTTTGTAGATTTTTGATAATAGCTGAAAGCTTTATATTCATCTTTTTTAAGTCCAATTTTATAAAGATAACAATATCCAGTATTATCTGTTCCTATTAGTATCACTTATCTCTGTGAATTTTTAATAATAACTGAAAGCTTTATGTTCAGTTCCAATTTCATGAAGATAACAATATTTGATATTATCTGTTACTATCAGCATCGCTCATCTCTGCAAGTTTTTGATAATAACTGTAAGCTTTATATTTATCTTTATCAAGTCTATTCTATAAAGATAACAATATCTAGTATTATCTATTCTCATCAGTATCACTCATTTCTGTAGATTTTTGATAATAGCTGAAGGCTCTATTTATATTCATCCTTTTCAAGTCAAATTCTATGAAGATAACAATATCTAGTATTATATATTTCTATAAATATTATACTTTCTGTAGAATTTTGATAATAGGGAGTTTCAAAGTTAACAAATGAGTAGCGTATTTTGAAATTAAATGAGGGTTTAAAATTTTATTGAATTTTAAAAATTTTAAAATCAAAAATTGAAAAAAAGTATCTGAAGATTTTATTTAACAAAATAATAGGCTTTTTAACAACAAAAATCATCATTTCAAATTATCAAAAAATGAAATAAAGTTGATACATCACTTATTTGAAAATAAGCTTGTAACCAATTTTAACTAAATTAGATTTCTGAATTTTAATTTTGAAACTATCTATTATATATAATTAAGCATTAGTATTATAAATATAATTTTTTATAGATCAAAAATAAAAATAAATAAATATATTTTATTGGATGATATTTAAGTAATATATGATGTATAGCACCTATAATATATTTTAGTAAAGTTATCTATTAAAAATCTTTTAGTTATAAAATAATTATATGACAAATATTTATAAACTATCTAACTATTATATTTTTAATAGATAATATATACCAGGATCGGAGTTTGTACAATGTACAATGTAGTGTATGGTTTATAGGCAAGTTAATGTGTCTGTACAATTCTCAGCATTTGATTGGTTCTCGTGACTCTGTTCGTCACATATCGTTATGCGTTGCCTATTTTTCGCATGCCATTTTTCACACCTTATATATGTGCAATAACGTGACCATTGCACCTGTGTATGAACATGTGCGACTGCCTCAATATTTAATGTGACCAGTACTACGTACCCTTCATGT